CCTTCTGGTCAGCATCCATCGTTCCACTCTAGCAATTTAATTTCATTGTCCGTTTTTAGAACGTTACAAAATCTTCACATTTTCTATCTCACAAAGGGTACCAAACTTCTCAAAAGAGTGGTGAGTCCTCTTGTCCAAGCTTCTCTCTTAGGTTGGAGGCCATCGCTAGTGGGACCACACATCCTTCGAACAGACTGCAAACATAGTCTTCCAACGTATTTTCTTTACACCTACTTGGGGAGACCTAGCTAGACCCCGAAAGATAGCGTTCCTTTGCTGGCGCCCGGTTCGCCCAGGCCGGAACTCTTGCGTGAAGGGTGTTTCACCGCCTCGCTGTTCTCTTATTTGAACCCACGATTTTGGGCATGGAACGGTGTCCGCCCTTCCTGAACTCTTGCGTGAAGGGTGTTTCACCTTCATGAGATCATGAGGTGAGAAAGGAAAAGGAACCCACTCTGCGTTGCCGTTCTTCTATTTGAAACTGCAATTTTGGACATCGGACGGTGTCCGCCCTTCCTCTATATCGAGGTCCTTTCTTCTTTTTGCAGCCGTACTTAGCTCCCTGACTAAGCCGCCCACCTCCTTTTTTGAAAATATTATTTCGTATCTTCTAGAGTAGTCGTCCATATGATAGATAGATCGTCAGATAGATAGGTAGATAGATAGATAGATAGAGAGGGACAGACACAGGATAGAGAGAGAGAGAGAGAGTGACACTGGACTGGGCATGGCTTTAATTTTCCAGACATCGCCGCAAAGCTGCGCTTGCAAGTCCAGTAGCAAGATAGACGCATGGAACCCAAAGGAACTTCTAAGGCATGAAAGGACAGAATTGCCATGAACTGTCACCACCGACCCTTCCAGACAACCAACCAACAATTAAGCCTTCACCATTTGTAGAGATTTTCAGCCAGATGCAACTTGAGCAGCCATCAGGGCTGTCTCAGTCGTAGAGGCTCACCCAACTTCACCAAATGTTCAGAAGATCTTTGCTCGATGAAAAGATGTGCCCTCAGTGTGGTCAGAGACTTGAGATGGACCATTTTGCGAAGCAAACTTGGCAAGCGATGTGCTGCATCACTGAAGCGCCGAATGGTTTGATGTTGAGGTGTGCTGCATCGCAGTGCTGCTGGGGAGGATAGAACCTCAGCTTGTGCAGATGGATGTTATGACTTGTGTGGACATTGGCGTTTTTTCCAACCAGGTCCTTTTTCAGCACGGGGGCCTCCAACAGAGTTCTAGAGTTCACAGATCCGGTGTAGCGCAGACCCTGGGCTTTGCGAACTTCCGCCACGTAGACCCCCCAAAAGCAAGAGGAGAACTCAACATGTTCAACATCCTTGCTTAAAGCTTCCTTGGATCACAGCCGAGTCCATTGTGGTCCTTTTGGTGCTTTCTATTGTAACCGACCTGCAGCAATCTCCACCCAACGCCACCGCTTGCGGTGGGTGGACCTGAGGTCCACCACCTGGGCCTGGGTGGGTGGCCTGTGTCGCGCACCTTCCACCGCGTGGTCAGTCTGCCGGCAGGCCGGTTTCACCGCATGTGGCCAGCCGCATGTCACGTGTACTGCCGGTGGGGTTTGAATCCGAGAAGACACACAGAAAGCTCCAAAACGTCTTGGTTGACTTCAATTGTTGATCGTTTGGATCCTTTTGGTCGAAAACCATTTCTTTGATGGTGTGTGCTCTTGTCGAGGCAAAGCAAACTCCCTACACTTCCGATGAGTGCCCCAAGGGTGTAGATCCCGCTTCAGGGGTCTCTTCTGACCTCTCGGTAGGTCACCTGGCTGTGGCGGTCCAAAATGCACCCTGCAAGTTATGGAAGGTTGACATCCCCTGTAGAGGGTTGCAGGGTTTTGACCCACAGCTACTTGGTCAGTTGGAGAAGTGGCTGACCTGAACTGGTACTTCTGACTTTCTGTGGGTGAACTGGTGCTTCCAGGTGCTTCCGCCGTGGGCTGAAATCGCAGGTTTGGGCCACGATGTTCATCGAAGTTCGCATGTGACCAGAGGACCAGACCCCATGATGTGGCAAAAACGCCCAAGGGGGGGTGGTTGGGACGATTTGTGATGTTTGTGGCAAAGACATCGCTGGACATCGCTGGACGTCGAGTGCAGAGCTTCGCCATTTCTTCACCAAAGAGCGCAATTCCTTTGAGGACACGTCGAGTGCAGCACGTTTGGTGCTGCAAACGCGTGGAGACATCTGTCCCAAGCACCAGACCCATGCGCAGACTGAGCAGACTGGAGAGAGACGAGCCACCATGGGATAGTGTTTTGGGCCGACCCACATCACCCACATGGTAGTACTTTTGTTCGTTTTGGGCAGGCCATGGTACTGGTCCAACTGATTCAGGACTTGGCAGATGTCTTTTCCTGAAGCCGGAGAGAACATGAGAGTTTCCTTTCATGCCTCATTGGCCGGGGCGAGGTACTGGACCCGCAAGGCGCGAGAGGATGGCGTGTCCGGTCCCACTCTGGGCGTGGGTCGACCGCCCGCGGAGGGTTCCCGCGGCGGAACCGGGCGGAACCGGCGGAACCGCGACGACCGGTGGCCAAGGCCTGCTCGTGCTTACTACAAGTTGGAGGAGTTGGATCGAAGGCGAGAGAAGGGGTCCAATCTCGTGGAGAAGATGTTTCCAAGTGCAGAGAATCTCGTGGAGGAAGAGTGAGTCTTCGTGCCTCTTTGGACCTTTGGAGAAGTTCTTGAGGCTAAGCCAAGCCAAACCACATACCCATCATCTACCCCTGTCCTCTTGGACCTTGGATTTGGCAGGCTGAACCTCTTCCAAGCTGGTTCGGGGCGCCTGATGGGGGCAAGGCGGTACCAGCTACCGTGGGGGGGTGGATGAGTTGGAGGTGCGAAGCGAAGCGCGCTGCAATCGTTGCCTCAGGTGACAGAGTGCTGGATCTTGGCTGTTGGCCCGGCTCGTGGACTCTCTATGCTGCGAAGCCAAGTCCTAAGATGGAAGCAATCTGGGGCAGATGATGTGAAAACACTTTGGGCCACTCAAGAGCTCACTCTGAGCCCTGAGCTCACTTCTTTTTGGGGTCGAAGTGAAAAGACATCCACAAGGACAGGGATCGGCAGGTGCAGCCGCTTTATATGTGTGCCTTTCTTCATAGGTGAGCCACGTTTTTGTAGAACTGTCGAACTATGTTATAGATGTGTTAAGCACCCATGGCTAAACATCCAATCACCCCCTCCCAAACCTGGAGTTCGTAGCTTGGTTCCAAGACATGAAACGACCACGACTGTTCCCACGACGACGGCTGTTGGACCCACCGTCCGTTGCACCGGAGCCTCAAGGAAGGTGGGCCCCAGTGGACGAGTTCTGGGAGTGCCACTCAGAGCGAGTGGACGAGTGTGACAGTCGATGTCATCGAAACCAAAGGATGTCTCACCAAGCTTCGTCACTTCACAGATGTAGACTATACCAAAGGAAACACCAAGGACACAGAAAGGAAACACCAAGGAAACACAATTTTTTCAAGAAACATTCGATAGCATAGCAAGCTTCGTCACTAAGCTTGATCGATTTTGGGACGGTCCATGGAAGGTATTTTTCAATTAATGCCATGGGCGGGAAAACGCGGAACAAGCTTCTGACAGTGCTTCTGACCACTTGGAGCGACATACCATTTCTTTATGTTTCTTTCCACCAAACCATTGTGGCCGTGGGTGGGAAACCAATCCACATCGGTGGCGGTCTTGATGTTTCTATTTCTGGCGAGACGACATGAGACATTTTGTGAAGGCCGGGTGACCGGTTAAACGGTTCAACTACTTCAATTGAGAAGGATGGGGGTGTCGATGATGAAGATTGAGCCGGTTAAGCTTTAGTTTTCAAGGTCAGCCTCAGAGTCCAGTCGTTGGGATGACTGGCCCAGTGGTTGGGATGACTGGGAGGAAGAATGGTTCGCACCATCACCGTCCACAAGGCTTTTCTCGCCTTGAACGTTCTGAGGAATTGACCTCAAAGAGGTCTCCATTCCATTACCTTCCAATGCCAAGACTCGCGTGGAGGATGCGTTCCGCTTCAAGGGCTCCAATGCCCGGGGGTCCCAGTTGGAGACGAGTCGTGACATGAGGCGCCGTTCCAGCGCTCGCAGAACGCGGCGCCCAGGTGCCCATGCTGGATGCGGTGATCAGCGACATGGCGCCCAGAACGATGGGTGTGGTCCTCAGCGGAGATCTCCCGGCAACGAACTGCGTTGGAAGAAGGACAATGGACCAAGACACCTTGGCCAGTGGCGGCCAGGGGTTCTCCCTATTCATTTACACACCCATCTGTCTCTTGATGATCTTTCAACCCCCGCAGGCATCCCAGGCCTGAAGAGGTTTCTTTCGATTCATGCCTGTTTTGTTTGGAATCAAGACTCTACATGATTGGGAGTACTGCCAGGCAGTGATGTCTGGGTTTACTGGATCCCATAATTTGAAGGAGATCGAAGACAAAGAAGTCAGTTGGGCCGCAAGGGCCTTTTGATCATTTGCCCGTTGACTGCGCAGCATCTTGAGCTTGAGCCTGAAGTAATTACTGCATGAGGTTTTTCTGCTTTCTTCCATGTGGTCAAAGGGACGGAAAAACCTTCCAGTTCTGTTCATCTAGAGTCTAGCATCATCTTGATGTCCACTTTTGATGGAAAAATCACAGAGATGGCTTTATTTCGATTAGTTTTCAGGGCACTCTTACTACGCGGGTCCGCGCCATCATGGCTCTGGCGCCGTTGGTGGATGTGGCCATCCCAGCACAGCTGGTTGGGCCGCCCCAGCGGCTGCAACGAAGCCCAAGCAGCGTTCTGCCCAGGAGCTCACGGCTTGGAGGTTTGGACGTAGCTGCCCGGTGCGTCCTTAGCTTTGGTTTGTTTCCGGGTGAGGTCAATGAAGATCATTTTTTTTGCAAGTCACAGACTGGTGAAGACACGACTTGTAGAATTTCTGTGCCCGCCCTGTCCTCATGATTGCACCAAGAGCTATACTTGAAGCGTCCAGGCATGCTGTTGGCAAGTGTTGCTGTGCCTTGCGGCTGCAGAGTGGCCAGGTCATCCCTGCTCTTTTGAGATGCCACCAGCGCAGACAAAGTGATCTCTGTCAGTCCTTGCCCGTGATGAAGCGCGGTGTCATGTGATAGCAGTTTTCACCGATCATGCTTTCGTCACCATCTGTCGGTGCTTGCGGCGCTTAGAACCACCAGCTTCCTGGTCGCAGGCGGACGAAAGGCTCCAGGAAGGCGTTGCCGGAAACCATCGCCACCAAGGGAGTTCCGGTGCGGGGCCCTATGGATGGAGATAGCCACGGTTTTGGATGAACAGCCGGTGGGTTTTGATACAGGCGGCCTCAAGTCAGCGGTGGGGTGCGGCCTTTGTGCATGCCGAGGTGGTGCTTTATGCACCCAGAAATGAGGTTGAGGAGCAAGCCTTGGAGCAGTTGATCAGTTTAGCAGAGACTTGGGAACTAAGCACGGCCTTGGCTTTGAAGCATGAGTTGGTGGAGGATATGGGGGAGGTGCAGGCACACCCCATCACCTTCCTACTCGGTGTTTCTTTTGAGTTCAGATCTTCTTCCAAGCCACATCACTCAGGAATCTCCGTTGCCTGTGGGACATGTTGCAGCTATGCCAGATGTACATATGGGCAAAGGCAGGGAGCGGCAGGAGCGAGATGATTTGGGTGTCATTGCCCGAACCTTCTTATCACTCTTTCCATACAGTCATTCGTTGAGGGAGGATAGCAAACAGAACTCCTAGCCCTTATGGCCGCTCGTCTGCGGGTTCTGACACCAGCCGTCGGTCGCTGGTGTCACAACTCCGCCCGGAGTCAGCTGTTCAACAACACGCCGAAATCGAAGAGAGGCAGAGGCGGTTCGTAGATCGCCGGTCGTTCGTGGTTGGAGAAATGGGCTCCCTGCACCAGGTGTCGCCATTGGTGCCGTCTTTGCTTCGGAGAAGTATGTTTGTCCCAATGCCGTGGGTGTGGACATTGGCTGTGGGATGTGTGCGGTTCCCATTGAAGGCCTCCACAAAGAGGATCTCACTGAGGAGGACCTGCGAAAGCTACAGAGTTTGATCAAGGAGAGGATACCCACCTCTTTTGATTCGCATAAAGAGCACCTACCGTGGGCAAAAGAAACCTTGAAGAACATCTCCGGCCGCTTGGAAAAACAGCCACGCCTGACCAATTTTCCTTTTTAAAACCCTTCTAGAGGATGGGTTGAACGCCTTGAGGGGCATTTGCTGGTTTCGCCCAGGAGAGCATCATCCGACGAAGTACTTGGCTGAGCGGATTGACAAAGAGGTGAAGATTGGGAAGCAGTTGGGGACCCTTGGTGGTGGCAATCACTTCCTGGAGGTGGTCTACTCTGAAGGCGATGACCAGGCAGGCTCTACCCACTCTCGGGTGGTCTCGGTCCGCACGTCGACCGGTCGCGGGTTGAGCGTGCGACGGTCGACTCACTGTGAACGCAGACGGCCGTCGTCTAAGATCTCAGCTTGTTCGCTTTGGCTTCTTGCTACGTTCGTAGCGATGGCCTCCAACCTAGTAGCGATGGCCTTGCTATTTGAGCTAGATTCCTAGATCTCATTTGCTCGCTGAATCAGGTCTGGTGCATGTTGCACAGTGGAAGTCGGAATGTGGGCAACACCACAGCATCCTTTTATGATCGGGTTGCGGGTGAAAGGCTCGTTCCTTTCTGCTGGCTGTTTTTGTATGTTAGTGTCGGTCAACCTTTGGAATGACAAACCTGCAAACTCTTTTTCAGGTTGTACTCTTGGTTTTCTGTTTTGGAGGATTGTCAACAGTGAACCCTGGAGGGGTGTGGCTTTGCGTGGCCTGCACGGCTCTCTGAACTATTTGGAGGTCGAAAGCCCTGACGGACAAGACTATTTGAAAGACATGCAGTGGTGTGCCTGGGCTTCAGAATTTTCGGTGTTGATTTCCTCCAAGCAGCTTGGTGCATCAGGCTTCCAGTTTGGATCAAATACCTCCAACATCCTCCAACTCCTCCAAAGCCATCAAGTCACATGCACCATACCGCGAGAAGAAGAAAGACGACGTTTCTCGTCTTCCTTCGCGGCGCGAACTCCCCAAAACACCGTCGAGTGGAGGTCTTGGGGCGACCTGACCTGCGTCCTTTTTTTGCAAACCCGGGCGCTCAGGTCAGGCGTATGCGCGCGAAAACCGTCGGAGCATGTTGGAGCTGATGATTTCCACGGTGGAGGAGGTCACGGGGAAGAAAGCGGATCTGTCCCGCGCGGTGAACGCCCATCATAACTTCTGCCAGCCGTGAGCTGAGGAGAAGCGCGAAGCGCCGCAGCGCGCAAAAAACAAGCAACAAACCTCGTGTCAAGTGCTGCAGAACACCAAATGTCAATGTGGGGAACGCAGGTCCACCCTGTAGCTCCTTTGGCCAAATGGCACGTGCGATAGCTCTTGAGCGGGGGTGCGAGACAGGGGTGCGAGTAAGACGTGACTGAGGTGCGAAAGATGCCAGTTCCACGATGCCCAAACTGGTCAGGTTTCAGATGCTTTAGCTGGACTTTGTCCACTCTTCTATATTTTTCTTGGTTCCTTCAAACAGGCCTAGGACACCGACCTTTGTCCTGAGTTCATGTTTTGAGTTTTGAGAGCTGTGGCAGATTCGACCAAGGAAAAGAAGCTGTGGGTGACGCGCAAAGGTGCCACAAGTGCACGAGAAGGAGAATATGGTATTATTCCTGGGAGCATGGGAGCTAGGAGCTGAGTCCGTGCACCTTTCACCCCAATCCATCACCGGCAGGGACTGGTCTGTTCTTTCCATAAGTGATTCTTCATTTTGTTGGGTGCTAAGGACTTTGCTGCTTGTGATGTGCTAGTAGCGGATGACCACAACAAGGTGATAAAGGCTTGAATTACATATCACCCTATGTATTGTCCGAGCTTGTTTTGGAGTACTAGCCCCTGAACAAATTGTCCAACAGGTGTCAGATGGATTCCAGCTGCATATTCTGTGTCCCTTTGCTTTTGCCGCTTTGCCCAAGGTTGGTAGCTACATTGTCAAGGGCCGAGGAGCACGAGGCCGAGGGGAGGGTTGGAGAGCTCCCACCTTTTAGGATGCTTCATCACAGCTCTTGAAGTGACTTCAGCTCCAGCAATCACCGCCACTTCCCACAAGTGTGACAGCAGGTACACCTTTTACAGTAGCTGGTGCTGTGTGCTTTATTCTCCGAAATAGGCTCGTATACCAAAAGGGCCGCTGATGGATAAGATAGGATTATGCAATAGGCATCTCGCTTGTTTTCCTTTGCAAAGGCACCTATCTTTGGCTTGGGCTGACTGTGCTTTGTCTTCTTGGTAGGTTCCTGGCAAAGTTGCTCGCATGGTGCCGGCAGGACCGCTCCGGGTCTTCGTCGCGAGACTTCTTCGCTTTGCGTCGCGAGACGTCTTCGTCGCGTGGGTCTGCTTCTTCTGGATCGGATCCGACCGTTCTCTGTGGTTTGGGTGTTCTTCATGTTCAGGTGAGGATTGGACAAACATCGGTTTGGTTTGGATTCCCCTGGTTGCTTCAGAATGGCAAAGAGGGAGGTCGTCCTGCCCGGATTCCACGGACCTCTCCGTGACCGGACCTCCCATCCCATCCCCCCGTGGAAACCGGTCCGTTGGTCGGGGACCGTCCAGGACCGGGGTTTGACGGACCGAGCACTCCAGGTGAGGGGCCAGGCCCGCGGACTCACCTGGACTCCTGAAATGAGTGCACATCAAGTGGACACTGTGAGGTCCAAGCCGTCTTCTTGGCATCATAAGATGAGTTCATGTGCACAAAGCAAAAGGGGATCGTTTAGTTGGGGATGACCACCCTCCAGTCGTTTTGGAGACTTTTCGAGACTTTGTGCTTCGCTGGGTTCGAACCAGCTCGCTCATGTGGCGACGATGTCCCGAACGCAGGACGATGTCCAGAACACGTGCGAAGAAGATCATCCCACAGGACGGGGCCCGTCGCCCGGGTTGCCCGATCGGCCCGGATCGCTGGGCTGTTCGGACGAGTCCGGGTGTGGTGGCGGGCAGACGCGACTGCAACAGGCAAGCCATGGTTCACCAAAACCTGGCTGGAAAGCACATGGCCGGGGGTGGAAAGCACATGAAAACAAAATATCTCCAGTTTCAGCGATGTCCAGTTCCTACGTTCTCGCGTGATGCATCCTATCATCATTCCACGGGACGTGTGGAGAACGCTGATCATTCGCACCTTCACAGATGCGACATTGGCATTGTTGCAGGTGCGGCAAACAAGCTTTCTGAACAGAATTTCCCGAAGCAAACGGGACAGAGACAGATTTCCCAACGAACAAAAGACGAGTTTCCTTTTGCGAGTGTGAATTACAGATACCGCCCAGAGTTTCCACAGGTTTCCTGTACCATTGGGGAGGGCTGGGAGGCTAGGATTTCTCGACCCAACTGCCTTGTGTTGTTAGATTTCCCATCCTATGACCACCTGCCAGACCGCGCTGCACGTGCTCTCCTGATTTCCCACCCGCGAGGAGGCGTTTGAAGCTTCCATGCAAGGCATCGTGTGTGATACGAACCCCGCGGTGCGCGACGAAGCACCTCAAGCCTACAAGGATCTGGGGCAAGTTGCTTGGCGGATCACGGAGGATGTAGTGGATGTTCCCTGGCCAAGTTTTTTTTAGCCTTGAGGCTAAGTGTTCTGTTCTCATATCAGGTGCTGAAGAATCAAGCAGATCTGGTGGAGGCGGATCATGTGGCAAGTGGACCTCATGTGGCAAGTGGACAAACATGCAGATTCTTGAGGTGCAGCATCGTCTTCTTCCTCTTGTCAATGTGAAGGGCTTTGAAGAAAAGGGCCGCTTATCTTCAGAGGAAGGGATTTTTTGTTATTTGCTTTAAGATGGAGGTTGAGGTCTCCAAGATAGTGACATCCAGTCCATTTCCAAAGAGCTTGCACTTCCATGTGGGTTCCATCCTACCTGGGGCCGCCCAAAACAGACGCGACCTTTGCCTACGCCATGCAGTCAAGAGTTTGCGCCTCGTCAGGCAGTTTCAAGGACAAGAGGCGCGCTCCGAGAAAGAAGACCCGAAAGCCATCCGGAAGCCGTTGAGTCCCAGAGACAGATTGGGATCGGATGTACATAAAGTAGTTAGGATAGTTAGGTCAAAGCTACCTTTGGGACCGACCCTCGTCGTCCACCTATTCCCATGTGGGGAGAATGACCAACGAATTCAGATGTGCCAAAATCCTCATCTGACAGGGTGCTGTTGGAAGAATCGAGCAGAAAAAGGGAGTTGCGACAGTGACGCAGATTTTTGCCCAGGGCTCGCTGCAAGGACTCGCTTTGGACTCCAAAGGACTCGCTTGTTCTTTTCTGGCCCGAGGACAGAGAAGTGCTGATCAGGGACGTTCTACGGAGCTGGTGGACAGATGCTTAGATGACTTTTGACTGGATGATCTGGATGAATCGCATTCATCGGACACGAAGGAAGTGGCCGACTCAAAGTTGACAGGAAGTGGTCATGAGCATCGCCGATCTGAAGCTGAAGGAGGGTGGAAGCATGATCGCCAAGCATTTCGAAGGCGTCGGCTCCTCAGACACCGGTGGACCGGTGGACGTGCGGTCGTTTCGACGAACAGAACAACGAGGCCTCCACCGAGGAGCTGAGACTGAAGATGAAAGCCCGCTATGAACTGTGCTCCTTGGCAGTTTCCCCCAACTGGTGTGCTTTGGAAAGTCTTAGGCTTTAGCAAGTCTGGAGATGAGTTAGAATCCTCCCAGAGTGGGCCGTTTGGAGGGGGCTATAGATGGCTATAGAATAGAATGGTGGACTCTGGTTGGGTTGGGCCGACAAAGCTACAGATTTAAACTACCATCTGCGGGTGTTTTTTTTCTTTTTTTTTTCGCATCCAACTCGGTGAAGCGTTGCGAGCAGACCAAGGTCGCATCATCAAAACCAGAGCTTCCCGGACACAATCCTGCGAGCCGCTCTCCGGCAGTGTTGTCTTGGGTTTGAAGCGAAGAAGAACGCTTTCCGAGTGGGTTTGGTGAAAGGACCTGACTGATCACGAGCCTTCGGCATTCGTGGAGTGTCGGGCAGGCTATACCTCTGCTGTTTGGGCAAAAAGCCAATGAGCCTGGAGGCAGGGGCATATCAAGCCCATGTACACCAGCATTGCTGCTCACTTCTTGTCGTCTCCGGTTCTGGTTTGCAGGCGTGGTTGTGGTGATTTTATGTAGCTGTAGAGCTTTCATTTGCTTGCTTTCACCATGGGTTTAGTGAGCTAGCCGTACGGCTGGTTTTTTTCAGAACGGGCTGCAATTTCTGCTAGTAAATAACGATAAACAACAGTATTAAATGATTCATGATAAAGAAGCACAATCACAACGCAATGTGCTCATAGTTCTTCACGTCGAGGTACACTTTTGCTTCCAACATAGACCTGTTTTTCTGTTGCTTGTCGTTTTTCAAAAACATGACCTTTCTGTCTTTTCCTAAGCACTTTACTGTTGGGGTTCTTGAAAAACACACTGGCCACAGTCTTGGGCCGCGCCGGTCGATGCTGTGTCCGGACGCAACGTCCTCCCGTTCTCCTCTTGCGGCTGGTTCTAATAGCTTCTTGCTACTAGTAGTACGGCCAGGAGCCCCTAGTAGCGCCCTTGCTCCTACTAGCGATGCCAGGAGCCCCTAGTAGCTTCTTGTTCCTAATAGCTTCGTGTGGTCCTCTTTTTCATCTCTTTTCCTCCTCTTGTCTTCTTCCTGTCGCCTCGCTGTCTCTTGTCCTCTTCTTGTCCAGCCAGTCGGTCTCCAGACCTTGTCCTCGTTGTCCTCCTTTTGCTCTGCTTTCCTCCTCTTCTCTTCTTTTTGTCGTCCCGGTGTCCTCCTCTTGTCCTCTTCTTGTCATCCTGCTGTCCTCTTGTGCGGAAAAATCTGGCGGCTGCGCCGGCAAGCCTCTCCGTATGTCCTCTTCTTCTACTCTTGTCACACTCTTCTTGGCCGTCCTCCTCATGATCTTCTATTGCCTTCTTATTGTCCTTCTTCGTGTATTCATTGGCCGGGGCTGCCATGTTGTCCTTTTGGAGTTGTCCGGTCTTTTCCTTCCCTCATCCTTTTGTCATTTGTTGTCGTCCTCATGTCTCCTTTTTTCTTTCTGTTGTCCTGCTGCTGTCGTGCTGTTTACGTTGCTTTCCGAGGCAGGGGCTGTGGCTGTGGCCACCCACCACAACAACAACAACAACAATTTCTGCCAACTAAGCTGTTTCGGGTCTATGCTGGTATTACAGTGTCACAGAATTGCACCATAGACACAATCACAACCTTTTCGTCACAACAATCAGTACTCAATACAGCCATGGCCACACCCACGAGCGCAACCAAAATCGGAACAAGCATGAGCAAGCACAAATCCGCAACACGCGACCCAGCCGTTGACAAATATGAAGACGTTGCATCGCTTGAAAAGCAAGCAAATCATAGAACAAAAAGGGGAAAATACATGTTTAGCTGCACTCAGTGCCACTTATTGAATCAAAGAAGAGCTTTGATGTTGCGGGTGTCCCGGATCGGAGTCCTTCTTCGCCGGTTCGGCCGCCGTTTCAGCGTTCGGGTTTGTTCATGTCCAAGTCTAAGTTGGAAGAACTATGAGCACATTGCGTTGTGGTTGTGCTTCTTTATCATGAATCATTTAATACTGTTGTTTATCGTTATATACTAGCAAATTGCAGCCCGTTCTGAAAAAAACCAGCCGCACGGCTAGCTCACTAAACCCACGGTGAAAGCAAGCAAGTTGGACATGGGCCCCGCCTCGTAGGCCCCATCCACTTGGCAAGCTCCGCCGCGAGTTCAAAGGACTGGGCGCACGGAGTCGCAACGAATCTGTGGATGAAATGCCCATGGAAATGGTTCAGGCTAGGAGTGGCCAAAGATCTGCAAGCTCCGCGCATCCTTGAAATGGTTTGTTCTTGGAAGAGGCTTTGTCCTGGCGCAGCTTGAGGACACGAAGAAAGCCAGCGCCGCGCAACTACAATGGCTGGTAGGTGAGGACCGTACAGCGACAACGTGGCTGGATGTCGTGTCCCATGGGTCAGTGGCTGTCAGGGCTGAATTCTCTCCGAGCGGGCTGAGCGGGCTTCGCGCTGCTGGAGTGTCGGAAAAAATGGCAGTCTATGTTTATGTTCTGATGTGGGGGTCGCTGACACCACTCTTGGCAGCTGGAAGTTGGTCGTCCTTTTGCGATGTGCAGACATTTAGCCAACAAACCCATGGACATTCAAACACCGACCCTGAGCCGGACAAGCCGTGAAGCAAAAAACAGGAGTTGGACACTCCGTCAGAGCAGTTGAAGACAGTTCCACAAAGATCCACAAAGATCCACAAAGAACAAACACAATAGACACAGCTTTCCACCAATACCTTTAGGCGCGCGCGCCACGCGCCCCCCACGGCCGCAGCTGCGGAAATTCATGCAGCTCTTTCAACAGCTGGGCGAGGTGACGGGGTTCGGAGAACGCATCCTGATGGAAGTGGAAAACCACCGGTTGGTTGAGGAACATTCCATGATGTTACTGTAACTCCAGGGAGAGGGAGGGTAGTTCAGATTCTAGATGGATTTTGCTTGATTAGCGGGTGCCTGGAATTTCGAAAGTGTCTAAATCCTTTCATAATGGGGCTTCTTCATAAGAGGGATGGCCTCCAACCCAATAGCAATGGCCTCCAACCTAATAGGGATGGCCTCCAAGAAATGATCTGCTGCCAGCTGCCCCCCAGCTGCCCGCGGCTTGATTTGATTTGCCGTTTCGCCATGTCTCGAGCTTTTTGGGCCATGAAGACGTGAAGGTGTAGCATGGTGAGACCTTTTTGTATCACTCAAGCCAGCCATCTCTGGACAGATGATCTTGCGTTTCACTAGCTAGGTGAGCCTGGACTTCGGCTCAAGTTATGTATCCAGGAGTCTGGTTGGTTTGAGCAGCCGCGAGTCCTGGTTGGAAGAAACCACGCCTCTCAGAGTGACTTGGCCAGGCCTTGGCGCGACTGACCAGTGGTCAATGCGCCTGGAATGACTTGACCAAAGCGGAACTCAGGAGCGACATGACACGTGATGCGCCGCCCGGGCAGTTTTGCTTGGGCAGCTTTTATTTGGTTGGTTTTGGAGTCCAAGATTGAGCTGTTCCGTGTTGGGGCAATTTTGTCCCGATCATGATGGAGAGACTCTGAGTCGGCTTATTTGGCTTGCTCACTGTGCGTGGTCCAATCCGTTTGCCATTTCGACTGACGGACCAATCAAATTCGCCAGGAATTTGGAGCTGGAGGAGCCAAAGTCAGCCATCGAAGGACTCGAAGGTCTTGCTTTGGAGTATTCGTGGCAAGAGCTCCAACAGGCCAGACATGTAGGGCCGTAGCTAGCCCAGGGGGGTGCCCATGGGGGTGTTTGACTTGGACATGCTTGGGGTTAACTGTGGTTATTTCGGGGCTTCATAGGGTGTGAGGCATCAGGTTTGCCTATGGTTTGCGGGGGTAAAGACGTGGAGTCTGCTGGAGTTTTGAATTCTCAAAGTCTCAATGCCTTTCTCCAGGCAACTGAGAGCTTTGCTCCATCGCGGCAGTTGGGTGCTGGGGCAAGTGGTGCCTTGCTGTGAAGAAGAGGATTTCGCAAGAACCCGCCACAAGTGACTACAGTTACCCCCGCAATCCTCCAAACTGAGATGTCTAAATATCCATGCATGGCCAGATCTTTGTGCGCCCATGCACGCCGCCCTCTCTTCAGAGAGGTACTGTCTACTATGCCACCTTGTGTGAGGGCACGGAGGCCGCTATCAAGGTACGGGCGTTCTCGTTCGCCTTCTTCCGGACCGTCGGTCCTTTGTCCTCTTCGGAAGGTCTTGGACGCTCCAGCGCGGGGAGGCTTTGACGAGGAGGTGCGACTCTTGTCGCGCTGCCGACATCCCAACGTCGGGGAGCCGAGAGTGGAGATTTGAAGAGAAAAGGGAGACATTACGGTCCATTCACCGTTCACCCACCTGCTGCGCTCTCGCAGCCCAGCCTCCGCAGCCCAGCCTCCGCAGGTCGTTATGCTTTTGGGGTTTGCTGAAGAGACGCAATTTCCCTTTGCTCCCTTGCATCGGCGTTGCGCGTTGGTCTACGAGATGCTGCACGGGGGCGATCTGTACCGAAGGCAAGGCTGCAGAGGAGCAATCAAGGCTTCACTGAAAGCTTTTCAGATCAGTGAAACGTGTGGCACTGATAGCGTACGATTCTGTTCATTCGGTTCCATTTCGGGAGACAGGTCGGACCAAAGAACGGGTCTCACCCGGCATCGACATGCTTCGGTTGGTTCGGTCCCAACGCACCAACCGCTCTGCCAATCGACCTTTCGACGCTTTTCCACCAGGCTGCAAAGGGACGATAAGCCCTACCTTTGGCACGATCGTCTTCGAACTGCCACAGAGGCGCCACCCTGGGAGGCTAGGAGGTTCTCAATAACTTGCCTCTGCCTCTGGGTCCCCCAAAAAGCACGGTTTGGGGGGATCTTTGGGGTGTGTGGGTGAAGGGCCATGCGGGGAGATGCGGGGTGTTGGGTGTGTTTTGATGCGTTTGGATTCTTGTGCGATTTGAGAGAACACCCGAGCCATGCCGCCGTGAGGTCTGCCGAGGCCTTGCCCACTTGCACAAGCATCGGCCGAAGATCTTTCATCGTGCCCGAGCGGCATCCCGAGGTGGTCGGAGTTTAGCCTTTGTTTGTTTGTGGGGGATGGAAGCGGGGCAAGAGCTCCGGTTCAGCTTCGCCAGCAGATCTAATCAAGGGTGGTGTTGATCAAAGCCCACTCTCAAACGCAATGGTTCATGTCTAATTAGAGTCTAGAGTTTAGGAGTTTAGGTGAGTTTGGTGGATAGTCCCTGGATAGTGATAGAGACCAATATTATGCGAGATTGTTTTGTTTTGACCTTGGATTTTTGGATCAGTGTGCTCATATCAGTGAAACACAAGTTTGGATGAGGATGAATGAGTCATTGCATCGTGGCCACCCCGTTGCCCTCCCAAAAACCAGATTGGTGCGCATTTGTCCCCTGCACCAATGGCGCCTATTTTTATCATTGCTCTCCTGCTATCCAGTGGATTCTGCACATACAACTTTGAAGAATCAAGAAGCTGGCTGTCGGCGGTGGATGTCATGCCTTCATGCACCTGACCTGGATCTAGCGCAGACCAGTAAGTGCGCCTGGGTGTTGGCGCAGCGCTGTTCCGCGGTTCAGCGCAGCGCGGTTCAGCGCAGCGCAGCTAGGCGACATCAAGAGCCAGAACATCCTCTTCAGCACTGATGGAACGGCCAAGATTGCAGACTTCGGTCCCCTGGCGTTCAACGGATTGGAACGGATTGGAACGGCCGGTAGGCCGCAGATCACATGTGCCATGGGTGGTTTTGGATCAGATCAGCCTGAGGGGCACCAGCTTCGGTCTTGAGCCACAGACCTGCGGCTTTTCAGCGAGGCCTGGCCTGTATGGCTTCCCACCATCATGAACATGAGCTGGCGACTGTGCCGGGAGCCGAGGTGGAGGGTTCTGCCCAAACAGATCAACCTCATCAAACCAATCTGTATATGGTGGTCCGCAAAATAGATAGAAGAGTGAATCCCCGCTCAAAATGTCTTGGACACCGTGCCACAAATACTCTTTGGGGATCACCGTGCCACAATACCATCGTTTTGCTTCCAATCGACCGTTCTTTGGGGCGCCCAGGCAAGTGGCCGGCACCTTGGGATACTCCGATCCACTCTACACGAGGAGACGCACGTGGGCGCACACCACGTTCTTCCCGGTGGCGCCGTTTTTCTTCCACATTCCACGCCGTTTTTGTTTCAGCTGGTGTCGGGTGTTCGATGGAAGTGTTGTTTTTTATTCTTCTCTCTCTCTCTCTCGCAATATTATAATATCTATATATATATATATACATGTATACACACCAAAACCTAGGTTTTGAGCCTTTTTTAGAGATCAATTTTGTGAGAACCAGGCCTATAACAGTTTAGAGGGGATACATAGTGTTTGACAGTGATTTTTGGCTAAAACACCAAAACCTAGGTTTTCAGCTATTGTTAGATCAACTTTGTGAAGGCCAGGCCTATAACAGTTTTGATGGAATACTACAAAACCAAAAAAAAGCAACAAAAAACGCAATAAGCCAAAAAAAACAATAAACACAAAAAAACAAATGTTTGAGACAAAATGGGGGTACAATAGGAGTTGGATTCTTCTTTTTTGTTTTTGGGTTTTGCCTCAATTTTGTCTCAATCATTGTCTATTTTTTTTGTTTTTTTGTTTTTTGTTTGTTTGGTTTTCTCTTAAACTTTGTCGCGCAGCAGACATTCGTGATAAGTTGCACAGTCTTTTTAATATATTGCATTTCTGACACGGTTGCATAGATCTCGGGGTTTCTACATCGGCTTTTGCCGAGTACTGGCGCCACTGTGCTTCCGACAGTATCGCTAAACGCAAGTCCTGCGTAGACATTCTTTATAAAACCCTTATTTAAAAGCCATTGAAATTTGATCAAAACGACTCTGGAAAGGCTACCCTTCATGAAGCCACCATACCCTATCTAAATAAAGTGCACCCAAAATAAAGCTAAACATGTTTGCTGCCAGTTCTAAGTATCTAAGTAAAGATTAATTTCATTTCCTTATTAAACTCCTTTATTAGAATGCCCTTTCTGTTCTAAGTAAAAATTCATTTCACTCATTAAGCTCCTTTCTTAGAACTCTCTTTCTGTTCTAAGTAAAGATTCATTTCATGTCCTTATTTACATCCTTTCTTAGAATTTTCTTATTAAATTATTTTCTTAGAAGTCTCTTTGATCTCAACTCCAGGAACTTGTCCTAAGTAAAGATTCATTTCATTTACTTCTTAAACTCCTTTCTTAGAATCTGGAATGAACTTTATTCAAGGTCAAAGTGACGGGGGAGGGGGGGCCCTGTTTATTAACAATGCGGGTGCTCCTGGGAGATGTTTTTTACAAAATGGACACGTAAAAATACATAATGAAAAGCCAGATAAGCGAGAGACTAAAGATCTCATCTTGATGTATATGGTTAGACGGCCCCGTAACTAAAGGAGAAGGGTCGTTTAGTTCTAACCCTCGTAGCTCCGGCTCAAAAGGGCATGTGGGGACACTCCACCGGCTGCCGGTGTGGAGTGTGCCTCACACTGCAACGCGTTTGCCGGCACATCCGTGACTACAGCGGCGAACCTGGTTACATCGATTTTGCCGCGGATCGACTACGTGTGCTGGCAGGTGAAGTCTCGGACTTCATCGACTCGCGACAGCGAGACACCGGGCTGCGAGCGGCATCTCGTGGTCCGGGACTCCTCACCCCGGGAGGTGAAGGGGAGTCAGGAGGTGGTCCAGGCGGAGGAGAACGAAGCCCTGGACACCAAGATCAAGTAGCTGCAGCTAAGGAGGAGCAGGTGGAGTCATCGAGGAGTTGTCCGCCTGAGGTCAAGAGTGAAGCAAGTGTGCGTGAGGAGACTGAGGAAAGAGGAGGAAGTCAGGCCAAGAGTGAGGCAACCAGCCATCCAAGCACTGCACCAAAGAAACTAGCAAAAGCCAAGGATACAGGAAGAGAGCCACTACCTCGACGGGATTCAAGGCGGAGAACAAAGGAGGAGCCAGCCAAGAGTGAAAGGGAGGAAGAAGGCACAGGAACTCCTCACTCAGATCAGAAGAAGAAGAGAAGGAGGCGAACCAGGAGCCGATCCCGCCGAAGACGTCGAAGAAGAGAAGGTTGAACAAGAGCATCAACCTGCAAATCCAGGAGGTCGATCGTCAGCTTCAAAACCGGAACCCCGACCTTCAACCGGCCAGGCTAAGGCCCAGATCTCCTTCACATCCTCCACCTGCAGGTCATGGACGTGGACAGGGGTGGAACGCACCCCCACGTGGGTATTACATTACAGGCAGGAAGAGTGGAAGCCTCAGGAGTGGAAGAACAAAGGAGTCAAGAAGACGGAGACTCAGCGCTACTTCAAGGCCTTCCTGGCGCACAAGAGAGGACGGTGAGGTGGTTGAATGGCCCCTAAGCGGAGGCCAGCAGCGGCTGTGGAAAGAAGGCGAGATCGAGGTGTTCGAGCCAGACCAGCTGCAGTTGAACCTCCTGAGGATTTGGATTTCTCGAGGGGAGGTTTGATAGAGGGACATCGGTTGACTGTGGTGGCAGGTCAGCTTGAACTGAGGTTGCAAGCCGGAGGAACTTCCGACGAGGGTTTGCTGAGGTGGCTGTCGGGCCAGGAGGATCGATGTCTCAGGTGCCACCTTTGTGGTTTGGGGTGTTCGGACAGTCCAGTCGCCGACGACTACATCCACGTGAAGCGAGTCAGGAGGCTGGAGGTAGACCGCCCGGCTTGGAGCGAGAACCTGAAGGAAGCGGCCGAAAGCGAGGCGTTGAGGAGGCTGGCAGAGGAGTCGGGAAGGAGAGAAAAGGAGGCTCGCGGGAAAGGAGTCGGGGGAGGACACCCCGGCGTCATCGCGGGAGAGAAGAAGGACGAAGAGGTCAGCAGTTCGAGCACGAGTTCATCCAAGAAGAAAAAGAAAAGCAAGAAAAAGAAACAGAAGTCCAAGCGTTTCAGAGTACAAGGAAAGAAAGACCTCAAGAAGATCTTTGAGTTCACAGGTTTAGACCCCAGCCTCAGAGTACGCCGACGAGTCATGAGGTTGGCGCGAAGAGCCATGAGGAACAGGAGCAGGGAAGACTCGGAAGGCTCCTCGTGCAGCAGCACGGAGGGGAGCAGCGCAGAGGCGGGACAGCATTTGTTCGAGGAGACCCACAAGATCAGAAAGGCCGCGACCAGAGGACCCGGGGCGTTGACAGCCTTCACGATCTCGAGCGTGTCGAAGTCCCTGCTCACCCAACAAGGGTTGCCAATAGAGGAGACAGATGGAGCAGTGCCGCATAGCCCTTCAATACCACAAGCAGGTCCTATCCCAGCGTCTGTCACCGCCTTTAGCGAGGGAGTCGCTGAACATTTGTGCGGCCACCGACGCACTCCTCGGAGGTCAAGTAGCACTGGGGTTGGATATCCTGGTACAGCGCCTCAAGAGCATAGAAGCGCTGGGAGGAGGTCAGAGTTGGGCCGCATCACAGAAACTCGAGCTTGCTCCTCAAGAAGGTTCTCAACAAAGCAAGACAGCCAACAAGGAGTTGCTCGAGGAGCTGAAGAACAGACAGGCTTCGCAGAAGACGTGGCAGAAGGGAGAGAAGGGAGGCTCGAAAGGAAAAGACGAGGAGGCCAAGGGCAAGAGCAAGAGAGAAGGAGGGAAGGAGAAAGGAAAAGGGGAAAGGGAGAAGGAGAAGTAGTTTCTCCTCCCCTGATGTTGAGTGAACAAGAGATTGAGGAGGAGCTGGCGCGAATGGCTCAAGTGGCTTTTGCAAAAGAGAGGCTGGAACAAAAAGAGGCACACTATGACTTCACCATGCTGCAGAAACCGGATGGGAGTGAACAGAGCTATAATCACTCCTCGGAAGCCATTTTGGCACGCACAGCGCCCGAAGGAGATGCCGCTCCGGAGGGCGAAACCACAACGTGTCCGCTCTCAGAGCGAAAAAAGAAGCTGGGTGCGGGAGGGTTCCGTTTCGCGGACGTCGTTGGGGGCTTGCTCAGGAACCTGTCCACTCCTCTTCGCAAGACCGTGACCTTGGGGGAGGTTTTTCCCCTCCCCTATGGCAGTTTCCTGGAAAGAACCCCTTTTGACGACTTGAATGTTGAAGTGAGAGAAGTGTTGAAAGGGATGATTGTGGGGCTCAACAGCATTTATGATTGCTCACCTTCCACTACCGTTGAGCGACAACACCAGGCGGAGGTTCAAGGTGCGCTGGTCGATGGGCAAGAAGGGGCCCGGCCCCGGCCGGAGAAGGCGCTGAGGTATGTCCAGCTTGCGCTTTTGTTACTTGAGGGGGGCTCCTGCAGCCAGAAACAAATGCAGATCGTTGCTGGAGGTTTGGTTTACATGGCCATGTTTCGGCGGCCACTCCTGGGCAGTTTGAATGCCCTATGGGAGTTTATCCAAAGCTTCACGGAGAGTGAACGGCATTTTCAAGTTATCCCTCAACCGGTCCGAAGGGAGATAGCTTGGTTCTGTCTCCTGGTCCCCCTGGCTCGGATGGACTTTCGCTTCCCTTTCTCCAACCTGGTGACGGCGAGCGACGCTTCAACAAGTGGGGGTGGAATCACAGCATCATCACGGCTCAGCCCCTTAGGGTGCATAGCAGCCAACTGTGACGTTCGAGGAGACGTGGTGGAGCCCAACGACTTGACACAGGTGCTGACTATAGGACTGTTTGATGGATTGGGCGCCCTCAGGGTAGCGGCTGATGTTATTGGGCTTCCAGTTGTGGGACACATTAGCATTGAGAAGCATGCGCCCGCTCGGAGGGTGGTAGAAAGCCGATTTCCGCAGACAGTCTTCGTTGAGCAGGTGGAGCTGGTTGATGAGGCCATGGTGCAAGAGTGGGCGCGCCGTTACACTCAGGTAGGGTTGGTCATCCTGGGAGCCGGACCTCCCTGTCAGGGAGTTTCGGGGTTGAACTCAGATCGACGGGGAGCCCTCCGAGATCATTGAAGCTGCCTGTTCCAATATGTTGACCTCATTCACCAGATGCTCAAGAAGGCCTTTCCTTGGGCGCAAGTCCATCGGCTGATGGAGTCGGTGGCCTCGATGGATGAGAGCGACCGAGCCTTGATGAGTGAATCGGTGGGATGCACCCCCTACATGGTGGACCCCATGCAGATTTGTGGAGCCCGTCGTCCTCGATTGTTCTGGCCGTCATGGGAGTTGGTGGAAGGCCCTGGGGTGACCATCTCCTCGGCTCGCGGGCATGGGTGGTCAGCCTGTCGAACAGTGGAACCAGTCGAGAGCACTGTCTTTCTGGAACCCGGATGGGAGAAGGTCTCCTCGGAACCCTTTCCCACGGCGAGACCAAGGTACACTCCAGGCAGGCGGCCCGCAGGAATACAGCAATGCAGTGCGGAGGTACTGCAAGACTGGGCGAGCGATTTGCATCGTTATCCTCCATACCAATACCTGCACAAGTTTAGAGTCCAGGACAAGCACGGCAATACTCGGTTGTTGACCTGCGAGGAGAAGGAGGTGCTCATGGGTTTCCCCAAAGGCTACACCGTTCAATGTTGTCCAAAGCAGGAGCAGCGCACACAGGCGTGGCAAGACGAGCGTATGACGCTGATTGGCAACAGTTGGAACGTCTTCGTGATCGCTTGGCTTTTGGCCCAACTCTCCTGGATCTTGGGCGTCGGCCCCTGTATGTCCTTGCGGGAGATTGTTGAACATTGCCTACCTGGAGGTGGACGAACCTTGCAGAGCTTCCTGCTGCGTCCCTATACATGCGACCGCCTCGAACTGCAACTGTCGAGCACGACGACACACTGCTTGTCAAGAAGATTGCCGGGCTGACCAGTCTGAAGGGAGAAGATATTCTCCTCCAGACCCAGAGTGAAGATCCGGTTCGTTATCATCGCCTACGTGCAAGCATACCCGCCAATTTATGGAAGTGGCGTACTATTTGTGGCTGGAAATGGCGAGGCGCCAAGGAGCACATCAATGTTTTGGAGCTCCGTGCAGTGTTTACTACTCTACGCTGGCGCATGGGGAAGAAAGGGATGCTACACCAACGCTGGCTTCATCTGGTGGACTCGCTAGTATGCTTGCGCAGCTTGGCTCGTGGTAGATCCAGCAGCCGCAAACTAAGAAGAACTCTGCTCCGAATAAACGCGTTACTCCTAGCTTCCGGAACGCAAGGATTGTGGGCATATGTCACACATCTCAAAACCCGGCTGATGCTCCCAGCCGGTACCCCGTTCGCAAACGATGGCAAAAGTAAAGAGGCCAATGCTTGAAGGAAGCTCAAGGGAGGAACGCAAAAGGCAGAGAGCAGAGTTAGGAAGCTTGCAGTCGTTGACGGTGCAACCACGAACCCGTGCTCGTTACAGCAAAGCCCTGAGGGCTTCTGGTCCTTTCTCCGAGAGGAAGGCAGGACTATTCCTTACAACCATGCCGAGCTCGATGTCCTTGTCCAGCACTACATTGAGCATTTGTGGAGCGAAGGCTTCGGTCGTGCGCAGGCAAGTGACACTGTCGCGGCTCTTCAAGATGCTCAACCTCAGGTCAAGGGACACCTGCGCGGAACTTGGAGGCTGCTTAAGGCTTGGAGCATGAATGAGGTGCCCAACCGGGCACCACCCCTCCCTGAGGAGGCACTTCAGATGATGGTCGGGTACTCCTTTTTCAAAGAGCAGTACAAATTTGGACTCCTCGTAGGGTTCTATGGGACCTTGCGCACGGGAGAGATCCTCAGCCTCTGATGTCAGCCTGACCAGTGTGAGTGGACCGGCCGTGATCTCTTTAGGTTTGACCAAAGCCGGCAAGTGCCAAGGCGCTTCAGAGAGCGTCACCATGACCGTCGAAGAGCCCCTTCGCTGGCTCCATGCTTGGATACGAGACTGTCCCGAGCGAGACTCGCTGTGTCCTTCACCTTCCAAGTGGCGGCAAATGTTTAATGATGTGCTACGTGCGACCGGTTTAGAAGAATTAGGTTTCCGACCGTACTCGCTCCGTAGAGGGGGAGCGACCTTTTTCTTTCAAAAGTGGGGTGTTCTTGATAGACTTCTCATTTACGGTAGGTGGCAGGCTGCAAAAACTGCACGCACCTACGTGAATAGTGGTTTAGCTGCACTGGCGGAGATGAACCTGCCTCGCACTCCTGCAAACAAACAGTTCAGGGCCATTTTTCTGAATTCAAAGAAACATCCCTTGCCGTCGCTTGGCCATACCCCGAGAGGGGGTAGGGCAGGGGGCAGTGGAAAGAGTTCAAAACAGTCAAAGAAGAGAACGAAAAAAGAGATCGTGGGGCGCGATCGCTGAAATTTTAAACCAGGCCATGAGGTCTTTTTTCTCCCAGGTGTGGCGGGAGGAAAAGGACATGGCCAAGGAACTCATCTTGGGCTAGGGGCTGCTCCTGGAGTGGCGGAGCAGTCCCCTAGGG